CGGAGCATGGCGGCGCGTCGAGGAGTGGTTCATTTGAAGCGGCGCATGATGTTTGATGTGTGATGAGTAAAATTAAGGTTTGGTGTGGGTTTTCAGGATTTAGCGATTCCCGTTATCCATGTTTTTCGAAGCCATTACTTGGCCCCACACACCTCCACTGGAAACCCCAACTTCCCTACTTATTTTCTTTTAGATTACATTGAGGTGCCCATGATTCGCATATTTTATTTTAATCTAAACTTATTAAAAATAAACTTTTAAAATTTTATTTTTAACTTTTGAACAAAACTTTTAATAATTTTAGTTCATCAATTTTTATCCATTTTTAGTTTTGGTTGTTAATTTGTTTTTCTCGTTGATATTTTAATTCGCCTACATTTTTTTGTTAAAAGGAAAAGATTTTAGAGATCATAATTTTTTTTTATTACAAAAGTTCATGTATTAAAAACATATTTAATTAATTACTTTAATCCTAAATTTATTGCAGACTTTCTAATTTAGTACTACTAATAATTTATAAAATAAAATAAATAATATTTTGAAAAAATAAATAATTATTTATAAGATCAATTCAACTAATAATTGTCAAATTTAGAAACTAAGATTAATTATATTTGAATGGATAGAAAGAAGTACAATAAGTCAATATAAGAGAGTGAGATAAAAAAAAATCACATTATAATGCATCATTAAAGGTATGGAATAACTACAGCGAGTCTTTCAACTTAAATATGTAATTATATTAAATATTTAAAGGATAAATTTTGTCATTCATAAAAACTATCTACTGTAAAGAATATCAATGGGTATGTAAAAAAAATTAGTATCTTTCTGTTTAAAATATGAGAAAAAAATTATGTTAACTAAAAGGATATTTAATATATTTTATTATCCCTGGAGTATCTACTGCTGATAACAGTGACTAATTTTCTCATTACGTTGAAGGTACCTCAAAAAGTGAGATAGCTGATCCCAAAATTTAACACAAATGCATACATAAGACAGAATTCGAACCCTTAACCTAATATTTAATATTATTTAATTATACTAATATCATTTAAATAATAAATTAATGTCTAAAATTTCTCTTCCATAGAACTTTGTATCGAGAATAAAAAGGATTATTAGAAAAATAATCTGGATATTTTGGATATAATAATATTGAATAGAGTTAAATTAGTTGAGATTTACTTATAATTAAGATAAATAATTATAATTTTTCTTTTTTATTTATTTTTGTTTATATTTATAATTAAATGGAGTACATTCTATGATTTTGCATATTGTTGCGTTTAAAGTAGGGTTGCAGTGGGATTCAATACGGAGAATTTGAAGCAAGTGTTGAAATATATTTTGACGTTAGTAAAATAATGATACGTAGAATATAATAAACAATTAAAAATTAAAGATTATTAGTAATATCATCTTTGATATTTTTTTTAAGGATCCGTCTTAGTCATCACACTTACAAAATTACTTCACAATAAGCCATAAAAACTACTTTAGTATTCATAATTAATATATTTACGTTGCCGAGATATATGCACAAATATATGTGTATAAATTAACTAACTATTCAAAATCATATATATATATAATAATTCATAATTGTAAAAATAAAAATTCAAAGTTATCAATTAAGTGATATCTATACGGGTTAACAAAACAACGTGATTACACAACATCTTTACGAGTTCACTTCAATTAATCTTATCCTACTTCGCTCCGATAAAAATCATGATCATTATAATTCAAATCACGTGAAAAATACAAAGGTAAGTTAGATTTCAAAAACAAAACAAGTATAGGAATAAGCATTTATAGTCAACACCATCATGCAAATCAAACAAGTACACTACAACATTCGCACCCACAACAATCACCATGTTTGAAAGCTAAAATATCAAAGCAACTCAAACATTCACCACAATCATATCATACAACAAGGTATTCACGTCATGCATATGAACATAATCAACTCACACCATCATATGTAAACATCACATCTAATGCATCATCATACATTCACCTACGAAGATTTATTAATACACTTGAGTAGTTTAGATCCTATCAAACCATCTCGGTCATTTTCACGCCCCATATGCCCGATAATTTCACAATTAAAATGGGATATCAATCCCTCCTCTAATTACTCAGGTGTCATTACTTACATTAAGAAAATTTAGCTCCACCACTAGGACTAATATAGTTGAGTATAAACGTACCACAACCTTGACATGTATTATCAAGTCACTTATGAAGTTAGTCTACTAATTATTCTCAAGGATTCACACAACCTTTCCAATAGTCAATTAATGATAGTAGCCATCGACTTCATACTTTACTATGTATCATCATTCATATAAACATCATCATATATCATCATTCATATAGACATTTCATCACACTTTAACATGTAGACAACTTAGAACATCGTACTTCATTTCAACATATCACACTCAATGCACTCTTTGTGCGTCTGACACTATTGAGACAAAGGGGATTTTTGTCTCATCCATGCTTGACGTCAATCCATCTGCATCCAATGTGGATGAGGCATAGAACCTGAGTTTCTCGCGTTTCGTGTGGAAAAATCTACACCCAACCTCACTTAAACCAAGAGTTTTTACCTAACTCATGCTTTGCGCCACTCAACTTGTGTCTAACGTCATTTAGGCAGATATTTACTTGATCATGCTTGGCACCACACCTCTTGACACGATGTCACCAAGTTAGAGAATTCTCAAGTTCTCACGCCCAACACCACTCATTTCACGTCTAACATGACTAAGTCAAAGGACTTTTCATTGATCCATGTCCAACGCTATAAATCTTGTGCTCAACGTTATTAAGGCAAAGAGTTCCTTAACTCGAGTCACATCCAATGTAATGAAGGTGTACCCAACATAATGCTCGTTTATGCACATAGCATAATCACCAAATGTCTCAAAACCTGTAATCCAACCAACCAAGACAACATGCAAACTAACATACAACATATATACACTATAAATAACACCAAACCAACTCAAAGCAACACATGCAAGCATCCAAAATCAAAATCACTAAAGTTACTCAAGAACATCATTTCAAGAGTGTTGATCAAGCTCAAGATGAAGATATAGTCTTGGTTGATTTTGAAGATTACAAATTAGCCTCTTGAAAAATAAGAGTGCAACTTTTATTTTGTTTTGTATTTTGAGCCTCTTGCGAGAAAAAAGTGCAAGTTATATCTTGCTTGTGTTTTTAAAACTTTGTTGCTTGTGTGTTTTGTGTTTGGTAAGTAACTTAGCTATAGATCTCTATCTAGATGGCGATTGATGAAAGAAATAAGTTTTAAAATTGATTTGTAAAGAGAAATGGTATGAAAAATCAAGATATTAAGTTTACACTTAAAATAATTGATTATCTTAAGTAATAATCGATTATTTGTTTAGTTTTTTAGTAACTCGAGGAGCAATTGTTGCAATAATCAATTATTCAATAAAATAATCAATTAAATTATTTTTGGTTGATTTTCATATCTTCTAAGAACAAAATAATCAACTATCCATGTAAATAATCAATTATTTCAACTAGAAAACTTATATATATCCTTTTTATATTCAAAATAGAAGGACTTAAATCTTTGTGATATATATTTTTTCCTAACTCTTTGAGAAACGATTTTATTTGCAATAAGAGGTTCTTTAACCTTTGTAGTAACCTTAAGAAATATTTCAAGAATTAAATTGATCATTATATTTATGGAGTAAAAGGATAAACTACTTTGGTTAATTCACCTACTTTGATTTGTTATGTACATTAGGTGAATTCGTTTCTTAATTTATGTATTGTGTTTTTCTTAAGTATGTTTCTTAAGAAAGGAAAATCTAGTAGTGGGGTGCTACAAGTAAATGTTTCTTGGAGTGCAAAAAGTGATTTCTTTAATATTGTAAAAGTGTATTGCATGTGATATTGTGATTGTAAAACTTCGATTATTAAAGATTAATAAAAAAATCTCAATCAAGTTGATTGAAGATTAGATGTAAGTCACAAGTGGATGTGATTGAAATAATATAAATTGGTTGTACATTTTTCTTTCTCCCTGCACCTGACTTCACATTCTTGCAATAAGCTTGTTTTTATGTGTTGTGAGACATAATCATTACATATAGAATTGAGTGAATTTAGACTTGCATTAAATCTAAACTAAGTATTCTATATAAAACTATAGATTAATATATCTATTAGTTAAATCTTATAATTATAGTAAAACAAGTTTCTACTACTAGCCATGGTGATTTCATTTAATGTGACCTCCAGGATAGGTCGTTAAAAGGAATATGAGATTATTGTGAACAATGTGAGACTTTTGGTTGAGAAGAAAACAAGGTGAGACTTGAACATTTTTTTAACAAATCACTTACTTTTAGATTGAGTTTCATCAAGATAAAGATGAATTTTGGTTTTCATGCTACGGACAACAATTGTAGATCTATTATCAAGTTTTCTAATGATACTAAGAACACTTTAAATGGATATAATTATAACTAGAGCTGTCAAAATGGACTCAGCCCGGTGAGCCAACCCAGCCCACCACGGGTTCGAGCCGGGTTGGGCAAAAAAAAAATTAAAAATTTCAATACGGGCCAATTTTGAACCTGACTCACTAACAACCTGGCTCACCTGGGTTGAACCCGTGGTGAGCCGGGCTGACCCACCAACCCGTTAAAAAAAAAAAAAAACTTATGCTTCAGCTTTCATTTTATTGGCCCAATTGCCCAAATGAGCATTAGAGTTTGAATTATATTTGAATTATTGGGCCCAAAAGAGTATTTAAGATGATTTTGAATTATATTTATTTACATGAGATTATTTGATTGTATTTAGAATTATCATTTAATTGTGATTTTGGACTTTAGTTTTATATTAAAAAAATTACATTTTTTTTAAATTAGGTGAGTCAACCCGTTTAACAAACCAACCTGTGATGGGCCGAGCCGGGTTCAATTTTTTTAAGCTCACTAATAAATGAGCCGGGTTGGGTTGGCCCACCAAATGCTCAACCCGTGATGGGTCGGGCCGAGTTACCCGTTTTGACAACTCTAATTATAACAAAAGATGCATATGATATTGTGAACTTATGTTGTTTAACATAAAAAGTTAAAAAAAAAATCTCTTTTCTAAGTTATTTAAATAAAAACGTGTATATATTTCACTTGTTATTTTA